TTGACCAGGACCACACCCCTAAATGCATTGAAGCAACTGCCATGTGATTGGTTGATTAGATAATTGCATTAATGAGAAATTGAACGGGTGTTCCTAATAATCCTTTAGGTGAGTGTACATGTTCCATCAACATCAAAACTACACCCATCCCAGGGAATGAAACTTCACACCAATCAAAACAGTTCATCCTCATAATCACTCAAAACTTCAATGTTACATTGCAAATCAAAATGCCTAATACCAGAAACAGCTTTCCCTATTTCTTAATGGATCTGCTTAGATGACTTCGCTGGTTTGTTGTACGCCACTAGCTGACTGGATCAGGAACTTCTCTCGGGTTCTTTTGAAAGTATCTGATTAAAAGTATACGAATATAGAAAATTGTATGATACATAAATGGGACCATAAAGCAGTTTGAGACTTAGCTTGTCAGCCAACTGAGCGATTACCAGGCTGAATGACCAAAGGTGACCCATCCGGATATTTACGCCTACTTAACTGATTCAGCAGGTGGATTCAGCTTCATTATGACTGTCCCACGTTCACTGCTATAGAAAGCGAATCAAAATCTCACACCAAAAAGCTTCAGATCACCTATAACCGTGTAATATAATCATTATACATGCCATTTGTGGCTAGCTGTTTATATACACCCATCCGGAGAGGTTCCAGAGGCCCACCATAAAGAAAACAAAGCATGTGACAGCATGTGCTGTGGAGGTCACACACACGCATGTACGCGGACGCACACACAGGTTTGTAATTATATCTTTGTGGGGACTTTCCATTCATTTCTATGGGGAAAACCCTAATCCCAACATGACAACATTAACCCCCACCCAGCCCTAACCTTAACCATAAGTAATCAAGCAAAAAACGAGATTTGGCATTTTTAGTTTTTTGATTGCAGTAACAGGTCATTCTGGGGACCTGAAAAATGGTCCCCACAACGTCGAAATAACAGGTTTTAATCACGCGTTGCTCACACGCAGATTGCGCGAGAATTAAAGAAACGAGGACAAAGCCTGAACACACATTCATGAGGCCATTTACACAGAGCAGATATACATGTGCAAAATACACAAAGCTCCTGTAAAAACCACCGGCATTTATTATAAAGGGCCAGAATCCAACCTAACAAAAAAAATAAATGAATTTTGAAAAAAGCACATTCAAGCAATCCACACTGGGATTAAATACAGTTGGTACTCTTTAGGGGATTTTCAATCAATTGTACTAGCATTACCATTTAATAGATGCTAATTGTGACCTGAATTAATTTAACTAACAGGAGTTTTAATGATCACTCCAATTAGCTGAATGACAGCGTGCAAACCAGCCAGTAAAAAGACTTTGTACAGGGCTAATATACGCTAGCTGCAGATGGCTTTGTTCCAGTTCAGTTAGAACATTTCCGGCCAAGCACAATATATAATTCTGGCTACGTATACGGTCTATGTAACAGAACTGGCGAGACTTA